CACACACACACACACACACACACACACACACACACACGTTTAACACACATTCATTTAAAGCTGTTGAAAATAAATCCCTTATTAAAAAGCCAAAACACCAGGACTTTTATAAAGAGAAGGCTGACGATCAAGAATAAACAGGAATAAAAAAAAATAAAGATTAAAAAAAGTAAAAAAGGCACCAAACCATTCAATATTTTAGAAGGCGTACTTCTGAAAATAGTTGAAAAAAAAAAATAAAAAAAACAAGCAACTTGACTTACAGCTTCTGACTTCGGCTTGACGACTTTCATGAATGCCCCTCTTGCCTGAGCTTCCATCAGCTCTTCTTTGGTTACTTTCCTGGAGTCCAGAAACTTCAACTGGGGCAGTTTATACAGAACAAAGTACCTGTGAGAAAAGAACAGTTTAGCTGTACTTCACTGCTGGTTTTAAAAGCTTTCCTTTTTTAAAAATTATATTTTAATTTAATTATTTTTTTTTTTGTTGGAGGTTGGTTCTTGACGATAAGGAATAACAAAATCTGAGAAAGTGTGTAAACCATGACACACACATCAAACTATCACATATACAAATATGTAAATATGTGCATCAAGAAAGCTTAAAAAACATGTTTACTTAAATCTATTGGTGGTGCAGATTCAATGGTGATATATCCTTGTATGCAATAAACTTCAAAGATGTAAGAAAAAGTATGCTGTATAAATAGCACACACGGAGCTCCAACCTGCCTGCCAGAAATGTGTCTCTGGTAGCATCACAGATATCTTTTTCTAAGCTTTCAGACACTCTGTCTTTCATTGGGGGGGGGGAACGTCAAAAGATAATGGCTGGAATACATAGATGACAACAGATCCTTTCAGTGGCAGGCAGGGTTAGAGGAACCAGTATGTCAGGGCTGAGCTGGGAGCCAGAAAGGACACGCATGCAGCACCTAAGTGGAGGGTGAGAAAGGACGAGGGATATGGGCAGAGACAAGACCTGTGCGCAAAGAGCTGTGACAAATTGATGATGGCAATGGCGATGAGGGGAAATGGCAAAGCTCGTGTCAAGTTTTCAACACCTGAGGATAATAAGGACGGGATGTGAGGATCAGATTTTAAATGACATGAAACAGAAAATGCCTCTATGCAAATTATTATTAAAAATATACTGTATATTTAGAGATAAAAAATTTAAAAAATAGTTGAAAAAATAATGCTTCTTAGCTGAGAGACGTGAGTACTAAAAAATATGGCTTTAAATGTCTTTCAATAAAAACATTCTAAAATGACCTCCTACTAACCAAAGCCTTTGTTTCCGGTGAGAGCATTAGCACTCAACTCCAAGAGGCCCTATTCTCAGACTGTCTCCCTGCATGTAAAAGGACTTTGTTTTGGGCATTTCCATGATGAAATGTGAAGATGCCCTTGGGAGACATGCAGGGAGGTTGTTCTCCATAGGTAACCTACCATCACAAGGTCAGAGCAGATGACAAAGCTCTGTCAGCCAGTGGGGATATTAATGATTCAACCCCAACCGCAGAGGCGGGATAAGAAGCAAAGGAGATGCAGCAGGCAGCACAGAGGCTGGGCCGCAGGTGTGGCAGTGGTTTAGTCTGACTGGCAACAAACCAGGAATTTAGTTTTGGCAACAAGGGAAAAAAAATGTACCGTACAAGTTTTTTTAAATTCTTTTTTAACTAAAATAACTAGTCATGATGTATTTTATGAGTGGTAGTATTAAGTCCTTCTTTTGAACAGAGGTATTAAATGATGAGGTAGAAATGCACACATTCAATGAAAACACCATAATTCAGCTTCACTCACAGCTTGACCCTCCATGAATTTTGAACACAACCTGGATTTGGCCAATTAGTGCTGTAATTTTTGCAATGTACACTGCACACGCTTTGCAGATGTAAAGAAACAACAAATAAAATATGTTATGGTGCTTTAAAAGGTGTTGAAAACAAACTCATATAATCTGAGAAATGTATGAGAAAGTAATTTACATCCCTTAAAGAAATAAAGAAAACAGGTTGACTTGCTTGTACTGTGACTTTGTTTTTAAGGATTCAAAGCTTTATTCTACATAACCAGTAATTAATATAACTTGTGTCAAACGTCTGTGTTTTTGGAATACTTTGAATGACCACTGAGCACATGCAAATTCGTCTATGAACAGGGCATTTAACCTCCATGCTCACAGACAATGCTGTGTGAATAAAAACTATATTTCTATGTCGCTGCACTAATTGGGTCACCGATGTGGCGCACCAGGATATTTCACTTGAGAGACCAAGAGCTCCTGAGGCACTGGGCTGGGTATTTATTGCCCAAGGCCAGTGCTGTCACGACCTGCACACAGCCTAACCTTGTCAGACATGAAATCTGCATCACGCTCAAATTGATGTTTTACTATGTGACACATTATGAATATTACATTACAGGACCATAGACATTGTCAGTCAAAACCGAACGGCTTTCCTCACCAGTTAGATAAGCGTGCAAGGAGAAGTGAAGTGGGGGATGTGAGGGCGGCGGGTGGGGGTGCAGAGGGAGACAAAAATGAAAGAAGAAAAGATTATTCAAGAAAGGCATGGGTGGTAAATGATTAATAGGAGACACAGAGTCAGAAACAAGCACTTAGGGCTAAAACAGACAAAAGAGAGTGTGCTTTTCGCCTTTTATCACATTTCATGTAAAGGACCCTGACAAATGGTGGTCATATTGCCTGGCTCCAGGCTTGGCTTGATGTTTAATGCATCATCTGTTCTGGTAAGGCAGAGTAGTAAACACTCATTTGTGGCGATGACTAGTCACACATGAAATCCATTTTGCAAACTCGAGTGTGGAGAGGCCAGTTTGACGAAGCTTTTAGAGTGACGCGGTTGAATCCACAGTCTGGTTGCGAAATGCAGAGGCTGGCGGTCAAAAATAAAAAACAAGCATCTCCAAATTTATTACAGCTGAAAAGCTACGAAAAGGTTAAACTAAAAGTATGAAAGGGATCCCTGATTAGTTGTAACACTAGACTTTATTTGATAAGCATTTATTTTAACCGTAAAATAAAGACTGTAAAAATACTGTAGGCTGTTTAGTTTTGTAAATTTTTAAAAATACATTTTAACACGGACGGAGCCATTTTATTTACACACAAAATGTGGATAGGTCAGGCTGCTAGCGAGCTATATCCACCCTGAAGGTTAATCTTGGACAATATCTGATGATTTGGTTCTTCTAAACGAAACCAGAGAGCGTTGACAGAGAGGAGAAGGTAGAAATGACTCAGCCTGTAACTGAAAATATGGATGGAGGACAACAGAGCTGCTTCATGGAAGAAGAACCTCAGCTTATCCTGTTAAGCCTTTGCATTAGCGCCAACGCTATATTGCCTTATATGTATTAGCTCAGAGCTAGCACGACAAACAAGTTAAACTGAGGTCGTCCATCCACATTTTCAGTTGCAGACTGAGTCATTTTTGTGCTCCCCTCTCTGTCATGTGGATGGAGGACCTCAGTGACGAGAGGAGAATGTGTAGCGCTGAGCTAATACATATACAGTATATGGTGATAGCATCAGGGCTAATGCTAAAGCTAACAGGCTAAGCTGAGGTTATTCTTCCATGAAGCAGCTCTGTTGTCCTCCATCCATATTTTCAGTTACAGGCTGAGTCATTTCTACCTTCTCCTCTCTGTCAACGCTCTCTGGTTTCATTTAAAAGAGTCGATCGTCAGATATTGTCCAAGATTAACCTTCAGTGTGGATATAGCTCGCTAGCAGGCACCAAGGACCTATCCACATCATCATTTACCCAGAATGCTTTGCATGCAAATAAAATGGCTCCGTCCGTGTAATATATTTTTTAACGTTTAGTTTAAAAATGATAAAAACTAAACAGTGTACAGTATTTTTTCAGTCTTTAGTTTACAGTTAAAATATATGTTTATCAAATAACGTCTAATGTTACAACTAATCGGGGATCCCTTTAAACTGCAGATTCCTGTTAATTGTTCAGTTCATATATTTGTTTTGTTTGTCTTGTGTCACTCACATATGGACATAAACAAACACATGTTCACTAAGTGACCAGTTGAGGAGAGGAAAAAATGCTGTTATTATTCTTTGTATTGTACTGTGGAAAGCACTTTTTGTCTGAACATGGAGTTCTACTTTTGTCCTTTTACCAAATGTTTATCCTGGAAAATTATAGTTTAACTGAACTGTGCAATACGAGGTGCAATGTTAAAATCATTTTTTTATACTTTGTGTGTTCAGCTGCACATTTTATCAAGATTTGAGATAAATGCAGCTTTAAAACAACTAATCAGGGATCCCTTTAAAGGAGACATACTGTGCTTTTAAATAATTATTTTTTCACATTTAAATCTATCAGTTGGGGTCTATATAAAGTGGAACTGCAATGCTTTGGTCTGAATTCCTCATTTTTGTACCTCCACAAGCCCCCTTTTCACCCCTTTTCTGACCTGTGTCTCAGATCAACTCATTTTGAAGCTGTCTCTTTAAATCTACCCCTTCCAGCTTCCATAGCTGTCTAATGTATTTTCATAGAAGGTTTGATAAGACTGTAGCTGCACTTTTTAGATGTTTTTAGACATTTTATTTTATTTTTTTCCAAATGAATTAAAATATGTCAATAAGGGAAGACTTGTACAATCAGTACTACATGGTGGACCCAGAGTCTTATCCAGAGCGAGAGGAGAATGAAGATGATAAAATTGTAGTTAATAAGTCCAGACCTTATTTGGCAGTTCTGTCACAAATTTTGTGACATAATGGTTCTGAAAACATCATAGACGATAAGAGAAATCTGAACAGGATGAAACATATGATCAAAAATAAGCACTTAAAGAAACTAAATTCAAAATTTCTTCACTCCTAAAACTTAAAGTACACAACAAAATTCATTTAATGGCTAAAAAAATGTATTTTGCATAATATTTCCTCTTTAACTCAGCATACGCCTGTCTTTCCTATCCTACCTAGTTATATATACAAATATATACAGTTATAACATAAAATTCTCATTCATGTGTAAAATCCTGACAGTTTAGTAATATACCTGTATCTCTGGTAGTCGTCTTCATCCTTATCCGGGCTAACCAGCTGGTTGGGGCAGGCCTCGTTTCCCAGCAGGCTTAGGTACTGAAGTGATGGGGTCAGATCAGCCAAGTGTTCCAGCAGGACTTCGATATCAGTCAGGTGTCAAAGGGCGGATGTCAAGGACCTGGCGCTGTTAATTACATTAGCATTTACCCACACGGCCCCTCCTAGGCCTGTCGGCACTAAAACCCGTCATTGTCAAATTTACTGAGGTGCTCAAAGAGGCTAGTCAGTGGCTTTGTGGGACTGGGCAGACAGAGGGGCAATTTAAGGTGCAGGATTTGGCTTGTAGCACTGACACAATTTGGCTCCTGCTCTCACTCTTTCTCTCCATCGCTTTCATTTCCTAGGTGGTCGGGTGCACAACAGTGACAAAATGATGGATGCCCTGTGGTTCAAATAGTCCATGCTTCTCAGAGCTGTGCTGCGGGAAAGTTGCACGAAACGTGGAAAAAAAACAAACAGCCCCTAAGCAGACACATTCATCACTAATACATTTGCTTGGAAAATTGAGCCCCAAAGTGTCAAAATACAAGTGCACTAATGCAGCGCTCGAGCTTTAAAATGGCACGGTGCCACGACAGGATGTACATAATTGGCCTATTAGCATGTGCCGACCACTTCACAGCCAAACTGAGCGCACAGTCCCAGATGAACACTTCAAGGAGTCCCAGTATTTATGTTGACTCTGGAAGTGTGAGTGTGTGCGCGAGTGTGTTTGAATGTGTGAGAGACTGAGCATCGTTACCCAGCAGGATCTGCATAACCAGAGGAAAACAGGACACTCTACAGAACCTGCTGTAAGGTTTAGAGAGGAAGCTCACACCCCTGTGACTGATCATAAACAGCCTTGTAATGTGTCTCAAATATATGCCTTAAATCTACAATGACTGCAGAGCTCTGTGTTTAATGTGCTTACAGTGGCTGGCAACACTGGCACAGAATCGTCCTCATCAGTGAGTTAAATGAGAGTATTTTGGTACAAATAATAATAAAAATATATATGTTAAATTCTTTGAAAAATTAGGGGTAATGTATGCAACACAAAACAACCTTTCAAATCCGACTATTTTCTGCTATGAGTTTAAAACAAGACAAACACTTTATAATTTTTGTTTTGATTCTTATTATATGCATGTTTCCCGCCAATACTTCTTGCTCTCTGCGGATTGAAGATATCTGTGATATTAGGTGTTAAATCTGATTCCACTAGAGGTCCCTGTGGTTCAAAAACTAGTCATGTGTGGAGCTGTGTGACAGCCAAAATCCTCTCTTCAGCAACACGGAGTGGCTTCCTGCAAAGCCACATTATTACAAAGTCCCTCTATAAGACAACTGAGGACGGTAGTGACATGAGGACGATTGCAAAACAAACAGCTGATTCAAAGACTGACACCTCGTTTTGTATGAATAAAAATATAATAACAGAGACTCCATTTTTTAAATGTTTTTTTTCAAAGGATATTTGGTTCTTATTGAGTGTCAGGGTGTGCAGGTTGCATAACCTGGGCAACTGGAGGTCATTTCCAAGCTGATTGTTGTCGACGATCAACTCTTCCAGCTCAGTGAACATTTTGAGGCCTGCCAGTGACCTGTAATGATAAGGAAGGAACAAGAAAAAAAAATGTTATGGCTTCAAATCTGCTCAGCAGTGATTGTGCAGATATATATTTTCCAGCCTCTCTCTCCAGGAGAGCGTCGGTCTGAGCCTGTCAGGGAAGTGAATGACAAGAATTTGTGGTGCTGAGCTCCCCTGGCATGGCGAAGCATCCTTCAGCGGCTGGCAGGATGAGGGATGGGGGTCACTTGTGAGTAGCCAGGATTCAAAACAAAAGGCTTCAGAAATGCGGCGAGCAGGATGAATTTGTCAATGTCTTGTGCCTTGAGGCGCCCAGTTTTGCCTGACCCTAACCCTCCATTCCCAAGACAAATCACTCTGTCACAGTTCACCTTCACTCCCCAGACACAAATTTAACTTGTCATCCATCATTTTCACAGAGGAACCGGAATACACCCGCAATCACAGATGGAATGGAAGGGAAACTTTTTTTTTCTTTGCTACTGTGACATGATAGGGGTTAGAGTTGGGATTTTTAGCATCAAACGATTTTTTTTTTCTTTTAATAAGAAACCATTTCCCTTTCCGTTCCATTTTATGACACACTGCAAAGAGGTGAGGGGTCATCTCAGCTCCTTTCCTCTCTGTCTCTCTCACACATGTACACATTAACACAGCATAAAATTGACGGAAGGTGGTGTTAGAAGTCATGTTAGGGTCCAGGAAAGTTCAACTTCTAGAAGCACCACAGTGGCAATGTGTGTGTTAGCTAATCCATCACTGTCAGAATGCCATGTTAAAGTGTCCCAGGAGACTTCATTGACATTTAAATCTGACAGAACACAGACACTGAACTTTTAAAAGTCCTCAGTTCAAATTTGATTTTTTTTTAAATCAAACTCTTTGTAATTATTTATTTCTTGTTAAAATATTTTGAAAGTTTACTTTTTAAAAAACAATGTTGTCTATGGTATTGAGTGTGATGCTATTAAATTTTAATGACTGATGTTATATTGCTATGGTCTAAACTCTAAATACCAGCAGCATAAACTACTGCCCCTCTCTTATCAACCTCAGTGGCTGCAGAAAATGGGATGAAGAGGAGGGACCATTCAAATTAGACAGCAGCATATTTAGGAAAGACAGAGTCAAAGAGTTCCCAGAAGACTTTGCACAACTACAAAACACACTACGAAACTATCATATGTTGATTTTTCCAGTATGTTGATAATTAAGACATTTGGTACAAGTTATTTCAGGTGTGGAAAAGTTAAAAACAGAACAAAAAGTAAGAGAATTTGCACTTGGTTGACTATTTTTTTTTAATTTGCTTTTTGGAAATAAATCTTATATGGTTGAAAAGCCTGTTTTTTCTATGAATAGCGCCACATTTCCCATTGTGGATTGATCGGTACAGTTGAGTGTGTGGGTTGCATTGATAAAAAGCTTGCCTAATCTTTACAGAGCAAGGTTTATCCAAGACTACCTTCAGTATTTAGGCAAGGACAGAATAGCCTGCCTGCGGTCCAGAGTTCAACCCTATTGAATGCCTGTGGGCTCAGCCTGGGCGTGCTGTTTGTTCCAGGGTGACCAACATAACCAAACTGACTGACTTGCGACAAATGTCGGTTGAAGAATGGGATGCCATCCCACAGCAGTGTGTGACAACTTGGTGAGCAGCACGAAGAGGTGGTGCCAGGTTGTTGTTACAATAGGCTCTTTCACTTGAAGCCAGGACTTGGACACCTTCTGGCCGCTCAGTGTGATTTCTGAATGGACTGAGGTGGCAAGGGGAGTCAAAGCCAACCCACTCCTGATAGTCGTGTTTTGAAAATAGTATAACTTTCATCCCATATTTACTGTGTTGTGTTCCACGTCGACACAGGAAGCTCTTCTCCATGCCTGTTTTGGTTTGCTTGATTTCTGAAAGCTCAGGTCTATGCAGGATGTGGCCGGCTCCATCTGTGATTTATGAACAGCCAGTCAGTTCACTCAGAAATAAATAGTAACTACCCTAACTGAGGCTGTTCAATAGATATCTACAACAGGTAAGATAATAACTGCTCATACTGTTTCCACAAAACCCTTCTTAAAAACCCCTCATGTATTTTTTACTGTATGTTTTCTTTTCTGTAGTTGTTTTTATTTGTCATTTATTTTTTATTTATTTATTTTTTGCAATTTGCCAGCTTGCTCTGTTTTGCAACTAACTGGCTTAAAATACATCTGGACATTGTACCAGAGGGGTGGGGGGGGGGGGGGGGGGTGAGAGAGCATATTGTGGAGAACACTTGGCAACTTTATTCAACAAAGCAAAAACATGCTTAGGGTTTCTTCTCAGATTTAAAACAAATTTTCAGTAAATGAATTGCAACATTAAACGAGGGGCAGATTAGGCAGACATCCACATTTTGAATACACAAACACACACACACACACACACACCGAATACTGACAGCACCTAACGAGTGTGCTGGCAAACTTGCCTGCTGACAACCTCTTATCAGCTCTGGTTAATGCAACAGCAAGATGGATGAATGGAGAGATGTGCCAGTTTTATCAAATTCAGTCTGGGTGTGTTTTTACCTTATGGTGATTCTCAGTTTTACAAGGAGGATACTGATATGAGTGCGCATGCCTAACACAAGATAATACCAATCAAAAGTATCCTTCACATTGGTCTGCATAATTTTTTGTCGTAGATTAGGCAGAAACAAACAAAAAAAAAAAACTTGTAGAAAAGCTACCTCTGTTTTGCTGGATTTCATCCAAATTACACATTTAGTTTAAGTAGCACTGAAGCATAAATGTAACTATGAGCTATTGGCCTGAAGAACACAAAACAGTTTTATATATTTCTTCATTGCTGTTACTGTGTTTGCACTGACAGCAAATTCCAAGTAACATACAATTAATCTACTTGTATAATATTTTTTACCAAGTAGTTAATCACAATCTCCCACCACCATGGATTAGCATTTAATTTAATGTGAACAAAGGCTGCTTGTGAACCATTGCCACCTGTGTTTGGGTGCATGTGAATATATGATTGTGTGTGTGTTTGTGTATGATGGGCTGCAGTCCTGTGGGTTATGTTATTAGCTGCTCGGTTAAAGGGAGCTGCATGGCACAGGAGGGAGCCTTATTAATTGTTGTTTTCATGTCACCACCACTGCGTGCACTGGCTGATTTAATCAGTTAAATTCACAGCCAGGGGAGAGCCACTAAGTCCCATTCAGCATTAGCTACAGTGCAGGGACTGAACTTCTAATGCTCTCCAGCTTTCCCCGCTCCCTCTGCACACTCCCATAGCTGGTTTCATTATTTTTTATAAGCTTTCTTGTTTTAATGTGTGACTCGGAGAACTATCAAAGTTTAAGCGCTGCAGTAAAAGTACACTCCTTATAAAAATAAATAAAAATAGCCTTGCCTTTAACAAAACTAATGAGACTAACTGAGTTGAATCATTATGCTACTGGGGTTTGGTTAATGGCAAAAAAGAAAGAGCACACAAACACAAATTATATAGGAAAACATTTTTATAATGCTGTTTTGGTCAAATTGTACTTTTTACTACAGCACTAACAGAAAAAAAAGTAAATATATTCTGCAATAAGTCGTTCATTTAACTATAACAGTAAGGGTCTGATCACATTAGTTACAATGGGCCTCATGCAAGAACATGTTCGTATTCTTATCCTAAATTTCTCTTACTTTTGTTCGTACAAAGGGTTCGTACGAACATGTCACGTCAGATTCAACAAACACTTCTATCTTCAGGAAAGGTGTGTAAATGAGCTGCGTAAATTCCACCTGTTCGTATCCAGCTGCTCGTGCACGCGAGAGGAGATTAGCATAATTACCACCCCAAAAACACCATATAAGGCTGTGTTTCCTGCCTCAGATATCAGGAAGTGTCCATTCATGAAAATGACAGCGAAAACTAAAAAGAAGAACTTTACGAGTTCAGAGATTTAAGTCCATCTGTCAGAGATCCTGAAAAGAAAATCTGTCATTTTTAGCAGGTCAGCTGTGGAATAAAAAGAGCTGCTAAAAGTATAAACAACGTTAAATCATTTTCATTTGTTCAGAAGACACACCGTCGCGCACCGTCCCCCACCCCCCGGCGCAAGTGGTCTCAGTTGCGGTTCTGAAATAAGCATTTTAAAATGTTTTCAAAATAAGTCTGGCACTTTGGAGAGAGTCCACGACTTGCTAGAGGGATTATGTACCCCCTCTGGCCTGGGAACGTCTCGGTGTCCCCCAGGATGAGCTGGAAGGTGTCGCTGGGGAGAGCGGGGTCTCCTGCTGCCCCCGTGACCCGATCCCAGATAAGCGGCAGAAAACGGACGGACGGACAATTTATATTGTTAGTCTAAATTATTACATTTAAAATTATAACTCTAATTCAAGCAGAATGACTTATTGTCAACATAATTATGGAGTGTAATTTATTTTCAACTCAAAATATCTTCAAACTAACTAAATATAAAGTTATTAATGARGAAAACCCRTCTGGATAACAGCAGACTGACTGCTCGTAAAATATACGACAGGTCTGGACCACTCGTGACTTTTGATCGTATCTGAAAAAATCTTAGAATACGAAAACATTGGTGAATGCCACAAATTCTCCTAAATCACTCGTACGCACAACTTAAGAACAAATCTGTGCGTACAAAHGGTTCTTGCATGAGGCCCATTGATTTTCAAAGATAGTATTTTTTGTTATTTATGTCTGTTTTTTTATTGTTGTTTTGGAATACTGTGCACTCTTCTATTTTCCTTTTAGGGGAATTTAAATAGACAAAGACAATATTATATGTACAAAAAAAAAGAGCAGCAATGCAATTAAAATGTAGACAAAAATAATTTTTATGTGTGATCAAACGATATTTTGTTAACCCATGCAAGAGTAAAACACCGAGAGGCAATAGCTTTAACAGGGTGAGGCAATGAATCCTCTTCTTGTTGAGATAATTACGATCAGCCTCATTGTCAGAGCCAATACTTCACACAGGCTGTCTTTACGCC